AAATCATGGTATACTGAAAGTTGTTTCAACTAAAAACAATTCTTATAAATTAATATGTCAGATTTTCTTTTATTCATTTATAATTAAGCAACAGGTAAAATGTTTTTCAAATATGACAACATAATTTTGTAAGAAAAACAAATGTATATAAATAAAGAGTAATTAAAAACAAAAAAATGATATCAATATTTTTATTCACAGATTAATCCATATTAGCATTTTTTTTTGGTTTGTTTGTTTTCTTCAAAATTGTATGCATGTAGAGTGGAGATATAATTTGTGCTTTATTCATGAATAGCAAATCTCAAATTGAAAACCAGGAAGCAGAGGTTTAGGGTCTAAGCAAATGAACATTTGAAACAATATACTTCTTACTTCTAGTCATTCACATGGATTCATGTAGACAAATGTATATTTAACAAAGAAGTTTTGTTTTAAACATTTTTGACATAGCCTGGAAACAAAAGGAATCATGACAGAAATTTTGTCTAAAAAGAAAAAAAAAAAAATCTTTGCAATTTTAAAAACATAATTTTCATGTGCACAAAAATAAAATAGCAAGTAATAATGAAAAAAATAAAATATTTGCTCTCCCTCCTTCTTGCATAAAAGTTGAAAATAATGCATTTATACTCTTTCTCTGAATCCTTGCATAATTCTTGGAATAATCTTTTGCACAATGAGCATTATTTTTAAATATTTAATAAGACTTCTTTTATCCTGATCATATATATATATATATATATATATATATATATATATATATATATAAAACATACACAGAGAGATGTGCATTTTAAATACTTTCAACAAAATATTTTCAAGGCCATAAAAATCTCAAAGTTTTGTATTTTTTAAAACAAAAAAGAAAAAAAAAGGAAATATCCGTTTGTAAGTCACACTCCAAACATTTGCTATTATACTATTATATATAGGGAATATCTATGAATGGGAGAGGGAGGTGTGTTACAAGTCTGTGCTCAAAGAAAAGCAGCAGTCTTTAAGTTGATTTTTAAAACACTGTTCTTATGGAACTTTTTGATATTTTCTAAAACCTCAAATAGATTTTTTGTTCAGAAATGGATATTTAAAATATGAGGTCAAGTAAAAACCTGGCCAAAAAATTGAGCAGTTGTTGTTGTAGTAATAGTAGTAGTAGTAGTAGTAGCAGCAGCACTTACAATGTGAATATCAATCAAAAGGTATTGTAATATACAATCCTTAAATTTCACTTTAATTAAATAGTCACAAATGAAATAAGATCCTTGAAACCAATTTTACTTTTGAGAATACACACAAAGAAGCTATCATCCTGTTAAATTTTTTAATTAAACAGACTTAATTTTTAGAAGTTAAATACGAAATATAAACAAATAAAAAAGCAGTCATAAAACTTATATGCACTTGTTATCTTAAAGGTAAATTTTAAATACTTGAAAAATGATAATTGTTTGTTACAGAAAGGAAACAAAATCAGGAAAAATTGTTAAAAGTAGAAATGTTTATAAATGATAAAGATATTACTTATATAAACAATATTACAGACAAATTATACCAATATAAAACTTTATATTTGTACTTATAAAAAAAAAAAAAAGAATGTATGCTATTTCTTGTATGCATGTATCTGTTCAAGAAATTCAGAATTTACAAAAAAATTAAAAAAATAAAAAAATTACAAAATTGTTTTACATAACAAAACAGTTAAAAGTTTAAACATAGAAATCTATGTTTTTTTTCCTCAACACAGTCACTTTGTTGCTCAAAGTGTGATGCATTCTGAATTTTCTTGAACAGTTCTGGTTTTGACCAGCCTCATGTTTAACTTTTTATTTTACAGATTTTTAAATTCTGTCCAACACCAGAGGTGGATTCCAGAGGTCAGGCATATTTTTTATTTGATAAGATTAATTCCATCAACTGCGAAAAGTATTTTGTTCCTTCAACCACTCAACAAACTCATCCAACATAACTGGCCCTAAAAAAATAAAAAATAATTATCATAATTTTGTGATTAAGAAAAAAAAAAAAAAAAAAAATTTAAAATGCATTTTTATTTCAATAGTAATCAGTTCAGTTGCCAGATTCCAAAGGTATTACTCTCCTAAGAGAAGATTTTAAAAAATTAAGAAACTTTTTCTTTAATTTTAAATGACAATGTAGCAAAGATTATTTTTTATAAAATTATATATAGAAATAAAAAAGGAAAGTGTATGACAGGATCTAGCGATCTATTTTTTAAAAAATTTCATTCAACATTGGGAATAATGTAATTTCTATTGTGTATGAATAAAGAATAGAAACAAAGAATAATTTTCTTTAAGAGAAAAAAGCACAAAGCCTGCTAAATAACACATTTTAAAAATAAAATGATGTATACCATGACTTATCTAAAAAAAAAAAAAAAAAAAAATATTATGTTAGAAACATCACTGAAAACATTAGCAAATTTAATGTCATTGTTAAAAGAGTATCAAACAATCACCAGGTGAGCATAGTGACTTACAACATGGATCATAAGTAAAATTGTAACCAGCTGAAAAATAACATAACTGGATAATCTGGACAATTTCAAACTGTTTTGGTCCCATGATGTTTAAAAGCAAAAGAAGCATACCAGATATTTAAGAAGGCCTTAGTAATGAGATATTTTGAAGTCTCATTATTTAAACAAAAAATGACTAGAAATCTCAAAAGAAAAACAATAGTTATTGGGTTGTCTGGAAGTTGATGCTCATTTTTAATCATTCATGTTCCAACACTTTAGAACACACTAATACTTTATAGACAGTTATAGACAGATATATGCTTACATTTCCAAATGGAACTCTTCAAACTATCTCTTGAAAAATGAAGTTTAAAATTATTTAATTTGTGTCAATTTTACATCCCTATGAAAATGCAAGATTATAAAGGTGCATTTTAGACACTTGCTTTTTTTCTTTTTTAACCATAAAAGCAAAAATGCCTCATAGCAAAAAAAGAAGAGAGAGAGAGAAAATAAAGATGTGTTGTATACAGCAAAGGTGCTTTTAGCTGACAAAACTGTACAAAAATGGTTTGCTAAGCTTAGAGTTGGTGATTGTAGCTGTATTGGTGAAGAACACTCAGGAAGACCTTCCCAATACAGATAACAACCAAATCAAGAGGATCCAGCATAGCCTCAATGTGACAACAAAACATGGGAAGCAAGTTTATAATGGGAGGATTCTGAAGGTCCTTTAGTATGGGGAACCAGCCACTGGCAAGAAAGCACGAGGGTTACCTCATCTTCATTTCAAAAGTGACATGAGGTTGATGGACATGGACATCAAGTGGGAAGTGTCATGAATGATTGCTCATGCTGGTGGCACAATTTACACAGAGGGCTGGAGCAAGGAGAGAAGGAATGGAGGCTTTCCATCATAGCGGACATTGGGGGAGAGCATCTTCACATACATTGTTTGCAATCAAGACTGTAAAGGCTAACGCGGGAGTGACAGTCATATCAGAAGGGCAAAAATGTATGGTCTCTTACTACATAATGAATACCACATATATTAAACAAAAATTTTAATTTCTATTTTCATTGATATCGATCCAAAATCATTTTTCTTTTTTATCTGCTCCGACAATATTTCAGCTGTTCTTTATCTCTATAGTATGGCATCTGGAACATGTAGGCATCTTTAATTTGTAAAGAATAAACAGAATCATTGCAAGTTATCATGTAATTTTTCAATATGTGCTCTCGTTGAATAAGCATCCTTTCTATGGGTTTAATTTCTAAATAAGTGCCCTGGAAATACAATATATAGAAATTGCACTGAAATTGGTTTTGATAAATATCACAAGATATGTCAAAGCATGAAGATGATATTGTATTTTTTTTTCAAATGATTAAACCAAGAAATATTCATTAACCCTTATACATTAGGTACTGTGATGAATTTTACTTGGGGGAAAAAAGAAAAAAAAAAAACTTACACGCTCCATCTTCATCATAATTTGAAAGATCCGTGTGAATAGTTCGACTGAATTCTAATATATTACACCATTGATCTTTGTTGATAACCTTGTATTTTGATTGCTGTAAAAAATAAAGCAAATATGTTTTTCATTGAATAAATAAAATAGTCAAAAGAAATAATTTTAATATTTTTTTTTTTTTTTACATATTAGAAATTCTAAAATTTCTCAAAACAGTTAACATAAAATTCCTATTTTAAAAAATATAGATTTGCAATGTAAACTTGGTTACCCAAAAAGTTCATTGTTATTAGGAACATTTAATTTTAACATTGTAAAAAAATAAAATTAAAAAAAAAAAAATTACTACTTTTAATTATTATATAGCAACAGTTGTATCTACATTCATATTTAAGACAGTTTTGTTAAAATTGTCCTATTATTCTTTACACTGAAAACTGCAATAAATAAGTAACATTTTTGGTGTACTGGGATTTAGCAGTGACAGCCACAATCTTAACATAACATATGCAGATGACACAGTACTGATAGCAGACACGGAAAAGAAATTACAAAATCTACAGAAGGTAGCGACGAAAGTGAGAAGAAAGGACTAAGTATAAACTATAAGACGGAATGTATGGTCATCAGTAAGATGATGAGCCTGAAATGCGATTTGCAGGTCAGGAACATTAAAATCAAGCAGATGCAGAAGTTTAAATATCTGAAAGTGTCTTGACAGAGGACAGTAAGTGCAACACATTCCAAAAGCTGGGTAGATTATTGCAAGACAGGAGGATTTCTTTGGTAACAAAGAAAAGAATACTGAGCTGTTACGTGACATCTCTCCTTCTTTATGACAGTGAATGTTGGATGATTTCCTCAAAGATCAAGAAGAGACTAGAGGTGACAAATGTGTTTCTACAGAAAGATGCTAAGGATAACATGGACCAAGCGCGTGAGCAATGATGAGGCTGCAAACAAGGAGGTGGCTTATACTTAACATCAGGAGAGGCAGCTGAAGTTTCTGGGATACATAAGGAAGGAGGGCCTGGAGATTTGATATTCATGGGTCGAATAGAGAAAAAGTGAGACAAGGGAAAACAATGCATGACATACCAGGCAGGATTAAGCAAATGGATGATAGAATGTGGTCTGGGGGAGGAAGCAGTGGGAAGGAACTTGTTGAGAGCTGTAAGGGATAGAGGGAGGTGGAGAGCCATGATCGTCTAAGTCCAGAAAAGACATGGCACATAAAAAGAAAGAAAAGAATGTTTTGTTTTTTTATTTTAATAAAAGATAAAAAATCAACAAGTACACAAGAAGGATTTGTGCAGATGAGGGAAAATTCACTCTATAACTGGTTAAATATATCAAAAGTGCCAGAATTTTCATGTTGAAGATTTCTTCTCACTGGACAACATTTCACCCACAATTGAGTAAACCAGTTGTGGTTTACAATCAAATGAATATATTACTCCAGAATAATAAATGTTATCCGATTGCAAAAAATAATTAATAATATTCAAAATATCCATTTTAAAATCATTTGCATTAGTTAGGTTATATTTATTGCTTGAATTCCACACAGGTTAAAAAAAAATTTCTGTGTTCAACTTGAAATTTAAATGTAAAAAAAAAACAAAAACAAAAAACAACACGACAGGTGTTAAAAAAGTTGATACTTTTTAATATAAAATACCAGAAAGTATGAGACAAGTAAAATGAACCACCACTGCCTATACCAAAGTTGTTGATGTATGTAAAACTAGGTAATCCGTATGGGTAGACCCAAGGAGGATGATATCCAGAGAGCTCAATGTAAATTCAGAGCAAATAAATTTGAATAAAAACAGAAAAAAAGAATACCCATACGGATTACCTAGTTTTACATACATGGAACCTTAAAGTGGTCTGTTTTTATTCAATATTATATATATATATATATATATATATATATATATGTGTGTGTGTGCTTTGGAAGGAAGTCCTCTAAGAGCTCCTTTCAAAGAACTAAATGATTAATTCAAACAAGTATTATTACCAATTATGTCAACTGAAAGTAACAAGAGAATGAAATTTGTTAAGAGAAACATAATTCTATCAGGATAATGGTTGACTGTTATATTTCTTTTATAAGCCAATAAAAAACTGTTAGTTTGGCTAGAAGGTCATCTACAATATTTATCAGATGTTTCACTTTCAAATTACAATATCTTAAAGAATATCAATATCCTAAAAGACTGCAATATCACTGCAAGCAGTTATTTAGTGAGAAAGGTAGAAAAGATTTTATGAAAGGATACAATTACAAAGTTGGCAGAAAATACCAGAATAAAAATGGTAAATATATTGTTGAATAATGTTACAAATTAAAAAGTGTATATTTTCAACTTGAACAAACTTTCTATGGTAAACTAATCTTCCACATAAGTTGATTGGTAATTTTAATAAATTGTTCAAATCCATGTTCTTTAGGAGAATGAATTAGGACAGAACCAAGAAAATCATGAAAAATACAATTATGAAATATCTGTTCATGATTATAATATACTAATAATGGATGGTTAATAAAAATTTTATTGCAACAAGAAACAATTTATATATTCAGAATTAAAATAATTTAAAGCCAAATGAAATTGTATATTCCATTTGCCAGTTAGGAGAAATGTTGATTTTAAATATTTTATTAAAACATTAGTCCAAACAAATAACTCATCTTAGAAGCTCAGACAAAAATTAAGTCATTCAATTTTAATCCTTAAAAACACTTAAATTTTTTTTAACTTACATTTCACATGTGCTCTTGCGATAAAGCAAAAATATTTTGTTAATGAATCTTATAAATTTGACTAGTAACATTTTTTATCTCAATATCCATATTTATTAGGAAACATTAAAAGATGTTTGTCAAGAATCTTAAAATGTGTAAAGACAAATGAACCCTTTTCCTGATAAATGTGAAAGAACAAAATATCTATTGATTTGGAAAAGTTTGTAGTATTTTTCAATAAAAAGGTGGCATTTGAACATATGATTTTGTATTTCATTTGACTGAAATTTATGATATACATAGATATTCTAGAAGGTGATGTTTCAACATGTCTTTCTATAGGATTTGTGTGTGGATTGTGAATCTTGAATGTTTCTATGTTAAAAATCAAAATGGAGGAAAAGGAAACGTACTTTCATTATTTCATGCTCATTTGTTTTCTGGAAATATAAAAATGCTTTACAAACAAACAAAAGAAAAAAAAAAAAGAAAGAAAAAATATGTGCCATTTATAAAGATGGCTAAGAGTACTCTTCATAAGTGGTTTGCTAAGCTCAAAAATGGAAATTTTGGTCTGAGAAAATGAGAATATGTTGCGGAAGGCATGTATTCATAGATAATGACCAAATCAAAACATAAGATTAAAAATAATCCAAAACACATAAAATGAAATATAGCAGATATACTCAACATATCACATATGTTGTAAGACATTTGTAAACATTTGGATTATGGGAATGGCTACAATGTTTGGGTACTTCACAATAGAAAAAAAGAGGAATGGATTGTATTTTCATTTGTAGTTCTCTGCACAAACAACAAAATCTTATTTTTTAAAGAACAATCATAAGTAATAAAAAATGGATTGTTTACAACATTGTGGAGAAGAAAAGATAAAATGAAACAAGCCACCATCAACTACTCCAAAAGTTGGTCTGCATCTGAAGGTGATGCTGCATATTTGCTAATGTTTGGGAGAGCATTGCATATTGTGAGCACTCTTTCTGAATTGAATTCAGACAAGTAATGTTTCCCAATTGGTCTGAGCACAGACAACAATCACTGAAATATATCTAGAATTGGCCAATCAAAAAAAGTATGTCTTCTTCCATCAGGATAACATCAGATCTCACATCTCTGCAAACCCAGTAAAAATTGATACTCTGCTTGGCATGGATGTCTTATTACACACAAAGTACTCATCTGACATTGCACCTTTAGATTGCCATTTATTTTGGTCCCTAAAAGATTCTCTGAAATAGAATCTCAATTCTCTGGAAGTTTGTAAAAATCATTTAGAACAGTTTATCACTCAGAAAGATGCCAAGTTCTGGGATGGTGAAATCATGAGGCTGTTTAAAAGATGTCAAAATGTATTGGAACAAAATAGGCATGTATGTAGTTGAATACTGTGTACAAATATCTAAATCCTAAATACACTTAAAAATGCCACAAGCTTTTTTTCCAACCCAAAATAAGGTATGAACTTTAAGGGGGGAGGGGGTGAATCACAAAGACTGGACCGAGTCTTTCATTGTTTATACTAAAAAAAATAATGATTGATTGGGATTTGAGTAGAATAAAGTTATCATCCTCACCAGATAGCAAATAATTAGACAACAAATGAAGAACATAATGATTGATTGCTTACCTCTAGAAATTGATGAAATAAACTGTGCAAAGGCCAATGTTTTCCTAGAAGTAATGATAGCATAGCTTTGGCTGTTTCTATATCCATACTTCGTTGATCTTTGTCCTATGTAATATAAACATTACTTTTTAGATAACACAAGCACATAATTCACAAATAACTATTTTCTTTTTTTTTTCTCTTTAACAGCTCTAACAATACTATTTACATCATATTATAGATCATTGGCTTTTTATAAGTTTTTTTCTCATAGCATTTTTTTCAGTTTTGTTTTCTTTATACTCCTCCTACTGATCACATCTGAGTATTGTAAATGAATTACACTGGACATTATAAATTACCTTATGGTGAAAATCATATGTGCAAGATTATATCAACATTTGAATATTATGTGCATTTTTTCTTTCTCAAATTTATTTATAATGTCGTCTATGGATATATAATTCACCTCAAATTCTATCCACAAAATTTAGCTAAAATGTTACCTTAAATAGTAAAGATACGATAAACATAAAATAAAAATTTTTTCCAAAGGCCTAACTTATCAAGACTTCACAGTAGAGTGTCTTTGGAATATATTATGTATGAAATTGTTTCAAGAAACTTTTTTGTTAAAAATTGTATGATCATCCATGGATCCTTATACTAAAGAAAAGTTAATTACTATAGAAATTTTCATTAGACAATTTGAATTATAATTAGATAAGTTTTAATGGCTGGATCTAAAACTAAGAAAAGAAAGATAAATAAATTATTTATTAAAAATAAATATTGAACAATGAAAAAAAAAAAAAGAAAAGAAAGGTTTGAGAATTTTTAAGAATAATTAACCACAAATTCATAAAATCTGAAATTTATATTTTTAATTTTAAGCAACCCCCCTACCAAAAAAACTGACAGGTTTTTAATCTAGTTTTCATATTACCAAAACATACTATTAACTTTGCATAGTAATATATTAGTTGAAGTAATCATTTTTTTAAAATTGTTTGATAAAAATACAGTACATACATGATTATTTACTTCAATGTTGATAATTTTTACTTAATTTTAATTATTTTTAATATTTTATAAAATCTTTTACCGTTATCATTCCACATTTAATGTAAGAAGCGAGTGAAAATGTCTGGTTATCAAATAGTTTTGTAAAACTCACTTACCTTTGCAAAATCATAGGCATATCGGTAAATACTTTTGAAGCATACTGGATCATTTAGATATGACCGAATGAAATCTAATTTCTTACGTAGTTTTGAAGTAGTGTCACATCTGGTAGAAGAAAAGGTTACCTTTTTTTAAATAAATGATCCTTAACTAACATTTTTAAAAAAGCAAATAAGGTATTAGATAAAGTATGTTAAATTTTTAAACTCATCATTATAATGTAAAACTTACACAAAAAACTCTACAATTACATAAATTGGTCCACTAAGTTAATCAGTTTCTTAAAATTCATTCTTTGAAATTAATCATATTGTTACCATTACAGTCTGTAGCAGATATTTATATACAACTTAATAATTACACAAATTAGAATATCTTAAAAGGAATCTTTAATGCTGAGTAAGAATTCATTTTTCAATGTATTGCACACTGAAAACAATTTGTATGCTTATAAGTCAATAAAAAAATTGAATAATTGTTACATTTCCATAATTGAGAAAATTATCACTAATTAAATCCAATGCCATTATTAAAGAGATAAAAATACACATTGCACTGTTAACCAGGAAATAATGATTACTATTTTGGAAAAGATTGTAAACTTTAGAAATAAAAAGAAATAGTTGAAACAGGAGGGAAAACAAAAGTGAGAGAGAGAAAAGAAATAAAAACAGAAACAAAAGGATTGAAGAGAGAAGAAAACGAGAAGTGAAAGTATGAATTGGGAAAATGAAAAGTTAAGTGCAAGGAGAAGTATAAAAAGAAGATAATGTATAAGTACAAGAGATGAAAGGAAAGGAAGGAGAGAGAGAGAGAGAGTGTGTGTGTGTGTGTGAAAAGTAAAGAACCAAAGATGAACTCACTGTAATTCAGTCATTCCTTTAAGCCATTCCTGCATAGTAAAAAATCCCATACTTTTTGCTGCAAGCTTCCAGGCAAGCACTAACATTACAATCTGAAAAAAATTTAAAAACAAATTTTATTGTTTTTTTTCACATATTGACTGGCTAAAAATTTCAATTTTTTATTTTTGACATAAAATTTAAACAATACTTTTATTTAATGTTTTATACTTCTATTTTCTGTCAACTTTCAGCCAATATCACAACTGCATACTCAGAAAAGAACTGCTTTCAGTGCCTTTTGCAGTCTTCCTGGAATTTGAAAATATTTCCTTAAATAGAATTATCTTAAAATTGAAAAAATAGTAATCCAAAAGTACAAGATGTGTGTGTCACAAACTCGAGGCCTTTTGTTGGTACCTCTTAGAAATTAAAAAAAAAAAAAAAATCAGCATACCATGATGAAAACATGCTCCAAAACAGTTTTATCATCAAAATCTTTGTTATTATATTAAGAGGAAAGATCAAAGTACTTTAAGAGTATTTTATTAAATTTTTTTACTACATTTTAGAACATTCGAAATTCCGATTAAAAACCTTGTTCTTTTTAAAAATATTTTGAAATTTTTTTATTAGAAAATTTTGTAAAAAAATTTTCTCTAATGTGCTTTTTTTTTTTTTTACAAGTGTTTTTAAATTACCTTTTATGAATAATATATATTAATATGGTAATTCTTTAGTTTTATACTAAAAAAGAATTTTTGAAGAAAAATCACCAAATTTTTTTTTTACAAAATTGATTTTTTCATTTTTACAATAAAAATTGAATAATTTATAAAGTTTTAAATTTTTTTAAAATTAATTTTCAATGAAATAACATTTTAGGAAAATATTATTTGTTTATTAAGTAAAACTATATTTACTAATTATATATTGATAAAGTTTATTACAATCTGAAACATATTTATTAAAATATTTTAAAAAAATTTTGACGACCAAATTTTTTTATGTTTTTGTATGTATATACATGCAGAATTTCTAAGTATGAATGTTCAAACCTATAACATTATCATTAAAAGGTCACATGTTTTAAAGGTTTCCCCCTTATGGAAAAAAAAAAAAAAAAACCCTAACAAAAATTGTCTGTTCCACCATACTTTAACATATTGAACATGTTCAGCAGTCATCCATCAATAATCAAATTAACACATCAGAAAAAACAAGACCCCATGGTTAAGAAATGCTTGTATACAACATTTTATACTATAAGTAATATTTGTTTTTCAAATCAGATTAATTTAACTTTAAATTTGCTAATTTTCCTCAAATAACATTTCAGAAATATATATTTTATTTTTGCAAGATTTTTAACTTTGGAAAATTAACTTTTGTTTACAAAAAAAAAATGGATTTTTTGATTCAATTTAAAAAAAAAAATACAATTTCAATCAATATAATTTCTGTTTGAAATACACCAGATTTTTTTGCTTAAAAAAATAAATTTAAATTTTTTAGCTTTAGCTTTCAATTAAAAGCTAAAAGAAAGCTTTTTCAATAAAAAATTCATTTTAAATTTACATATACTAATTTGGATTAAAACTTTTTTTTTTTTGTTTAATATTTAATTAACTGAATAAATTTATTTTTTTCATCATTCATTATTCCAATTGAAATGAGAAAGAAAAAAAAAAAAAAGGAATGTACCAAATAAAAAAATAAATTTGTTATTCAAAAAATAAAATATCATATAAAAATGTAAGGATAAAAATAGTAAATAAAAAACATAATCAAAATTTTTAAGTTTTTTGTCTCATTTTAAATAATTGTCATTCTGGAGAAAAAAAAATATTTATATAATGAACAAAGGAAAATTTTTATATCAGAAAATTCTTACAAAAAATTTAAATTTTAAACAAATTAGAAAATTTTAAATTTTTCAACTAAAATGTTCTTTTAATTTCCTTTTTTTTGAATATTTGAATCATTTTCTTTTATTTCCAAAATTTGCATCCTTAATGTTTCAAAACCCTTTTCATTAAATTAGTTTAATATGAACATTTGATTCAACTCTTACTGAAAGAATAAGAATGTAATTAAATATGAAATTAAGAAAAAAAAAATTTCATCTATCAATTTACGGTTTTTCAATATTAAAGATAATAAAAAACTGTTTAACATTTTTTGATTTTCAAAAATAGAAACAATTCATAAACTGTTTCCCACAATTACATCATTGATAAAAAACAAACTTTAAAGAATTTTTATATATTCACACACACACACACAAAATACCATAGGATGAAATAACTTTGAAATTGAAAAATATAAAGAGTTAAAGAATCTTTCAAAAAACGTATTTAAACAAAAAAATGTAGGGATGAAAAGATTTGCAAAAAAAATTAAAAGGTACAAAATTAAATACAAGAACAATTCCACATTTTTAAATGTATCACCTTTCTCAATCAATTCCAAGAACACTTTAAAATCTAGTAGAAATTTGTTTTAACATAAAATAAAATAAAACTTTTCATCTTGTCCAAAAACTCTTTTTTATGAACATAATTTAATAGATATTTTAATTTATTCCAAAACAATAAAAAAAAAAAAATAATAAAAATTTTTTTGAAAAAAAAATAATTTAAAAATTGATATTAAAAAATAAAAAAAAATATTTATAATAAAATTTAAAAAAAGAATATTTCAAAATTGTTAAAAAAAGTATTTAAAAAGTTTATTTAATTTGAACAATTGAAAAAAATTGGGCTTTCTTTAAAAACAGGGAAAAAAAATAAAAAAAAAAAAAGTTAATTTAAATTTCAGGTAAAAAAAAGACATTTGCATATAACGGAGAAGGAGACTAAAAAAATGTTATATTTACTTTTAAAAAAAACTTAATAACACTTCATGACCTTTGTTATACAGACATATTTAAATTCAAGGCAAACATTTTAAAATTCAAAAAGTAGGAAGATATTATTAACCATTTAATTATTTTTTTTATTAATTAAATATTTTTTAAAAGGAAAATCAAAAATCAAATGTATTTTTGAAATGGAATGAAATGTGTTTTAATAAAAATAAAAAATTATTTTTATATAATTATATTCCATTTTTTGAAACATAAAAAATAAAAAAAAAATTTTAAATCAAAAAATTTTTAATAAAAAATGCTCTTTGTTTTGAATTTAGCACTATTTTTAAAAATAAAAATATCTGATAAAATTTGAAAATTTATTATTTTTTTTTTTGTAATATCATTTTTGAATATATATATATATATATAAATATATATTTTATTGTTATATTATATTAAATATATAAAAACAAATAATAATTTTTAAACAAGGACAAACAAAAATTTTGTAAAACAAATAATTTTATTTTATTTTCTTTTTTAATTATTAACCATATATGGAAAAATAAAAATTCCTTTAAATGTTTTTGTTTGTTGAATTTTTTTTCTGCAAAAAAAAAAAACAAAAATTTAAATGAAAAGTGCAAATGAAATTCATCTGTGAAATTTGGATAGAAAATAGAAAATTTAAATTCAAAAAAAATTCCATTTATTGAGAATCCGGAATTTGATCAAAAAAAAAATTTTAAGAAAAAAATATATAAATTGAAAAATTTTGATCAATGTAAAATTTTTTGTTAAACAAAACTATATATATTACTTAAATCCATTTGGTTATTTTAAAAACTAGAATAGAAAAATCTAAAAATACATCCCTTTTCAGGATTTTTGGTTTAAAAAATGATTATCATACATTTTTCAGGAAATTTTAAATAAAATATAACCAAAAATTAAATAGGGTTTATTAAATTTGTAAAAACAATAAGAATCAGGGCATTCATTATTTTAAATGAGCAGCAATTAAAGAGCAATAATGAAATTATATATATCAGAGAAAATTTTTAAAACACATTGCATTTATAATATGGCTTATATAAATATGTTATAAATAAAAAATTCTTTCCAGAAAATAGAAAAAAATTTTTTTTTTTTATTAACATTCAGAAAAGCTAATTTATATTGAAATTTCAATAGAAATCTAAAAAAATTACAAAGTGATGAACCATTGATGTCAATTTAGTACTACAAATAAATCATAAATTTGAAATAGGATTTGAAGGAAAGTTTATCAGAACAATTACCTTGAAAGTAAATTATTATAAAAAAGAAATCTAAAAAAAAAAAATTTTGTTATTGGATATTAAAACAAATTTTTTTTAATCAAATCTATTTACACATATATATATATATATATATATATATATGTTTAATAAATAAGAGAATATTTTTATTACAAGTTCATAAATGAAATGTAACCAATAACATAATCAACATTATTTTTGTCTATATGCATTTATAAAAGAATATATATTAAAGAAAAATATTTTCTCTATAATTTTTGAAACTTGTCATTTTATGTGCCAAATTCTCTTATAGGATCATTACAAATCCAAAAAAATTTGAATGAAACTTTTTAAAATTAATTTGTCTCAATAAATATTATAAAATAGAATGAAAAATTTTTAAAAACTTTTTTTATTGAATTTTAATACTTTTGGCAATTAGATTAATTAAATTAGTTATTTTAAAAATAAAAAAAAGATGATTTTGAATGCTAACTGTATGAATATGCTTTTAAATATTTTTTCATTCAACTTTCAAAAAAAAAAAAATTTCAAAATGAAATTTTTAAAATAAAATATTGACACCATAGATGTACTAGCACCTTCCACTTTAGCCAAAAGTAAATAGTTAGCTTTGAATGTATTTATATTAAATTTTATTTGTTATATATATATTTATTGTAAATATGTATAATAAATATTTGAAATTGCATTTTTTATACAAACATAAAATTGAAGGTATATATTAGATTTTCCTTGGCAATAAATAAATTAAAAAGATTTATATCAAATAAGTTAATTCTGTTATTTTTTTTATTATTTTTATTTGGATAATATATAATTTTAAATGTTTATTTGAGATTTTAATTTTTGCTTTTGAAAATTATATTAAAATATATTAGGATATACAATTATTTTTCTACCAAAGACTGTATATTCAAGCCAAATGTTATTTTAAAGTAAATGGTATATTTCA